AATAAGTAATCTAAGATAATAAATAATATAGCATCTCAGGCATACTTTTCCTTAGTTATTCTTATAATATTTCTTTAAGGTTGCCTTTCTTTCTTATAGATTTCCTATCTGCCTAGTTCTTTCTTTAGAGCTTATAGTCTTTCTTTAGACTCTCTTCTATAGTGCTTAATTATTACTTTATGTCTTTGTAATCCTTAGTATAATAGCCAGGTTTTCTGTAACGTAGGTATAGTCCTTTCTTGCATCTCTTTATTATAAGCTCGCCAAAAATTCTCTACTTGCTTTTACTGTCCTAATTCTTCTTAAGTAACCCTTATTTCTTTTCTTTCTAAGTTATGTCTAAATCTATAGATATATTTCATCTTGTAAGGTAATATCCTTATATCTTATGCTTTAGACGTTATGTATTAGCCTAGTATTACATCAGAATAGTGATGTAGTTCTTTTTTCCTTTTTTGAGTTATCTTTTATAGTTTTGATTATCTATCTTAATTGCTATCTTAATTAAGGGTAACAACTTGCTAGGTTAATTAATCTTAGATAAGTCATCTTTAACAGAGTCTTTTAGCCCTTTATAAAAGACGACTAATAAGGTGAAGTCCTCTTAGTTTACTTATAAGGTGATCTAATAGAATCTAGAAGTGTAGTTTATAATAGATCCCTTTTGCCTTATTTATAATAAGTCTCTTTCAGCTTCCTTAATTATGTCTATATCCTTATATACTTGTTTAATCTTAATTATAAAGTTAGCAAAACTATAAAAAATCTGTTATGTATCTAGTTCTTAGTTCTTTATTATCTCTTTAAGTTTGTTTTTAAGGTAGGGTTTAAACTAGTTATATATAGCTTTTTAAAGAAAGATAACTATATATAAGATCTTCTTTTTATTAGTATCTATTACTTATATATAAAATAAAAAGTTAATTTATAACTAGTTTAGGAATTCTTAAAGTCTTTTTTTATCTCTATAAAATAAGTCTAGTAATATAACTTTAAACTATATATTCCTTTCTTAGCCTTTAATAATAACAGTACTTATTAGTCCTAAGGTAACTAATATAATATATATCTTTAGGTAACATATATAGTATTTGTTTAATTATACTTAGTGTTTTTAAGAGTAATAATTAAAGTATTAAGGCTTAACTAGTTAAGACAAGTCTTAACTAGAAGCTAGGTTTAAAGGATTAATTAGGTAGAACAGGAAGTATAGTAAATAATACTAAGATATCTTCAACTTAAGTATAAGCTAATAATATAAGTTGACTATAAAGACTATAAAACTATCTAGGAAATAAGCGTGCTTATATAGGCTAAGAGATTTGTGCTTATGACTGCTCACTCATAAGCGCTTATAAGCGTTACTCATCAGTCCCTCCTTATGAACACCTTGCTCAAGGTTGTCTCCGCATAAGCGTGTCCTTTCGCCAAGCCCCTTGGGCTTGGTTAGTTCCAGGGTCTCCTTACACAGGGTCTGTGCAGCCTCCAAGGCCTGTCAGTGCCTAGTGCGTTCACGTACTATAATACTTAATAAGATTCTTTATATATAAGACTCTAAGTCTTAATAAGATTCTGTTAAATATTAGTAATTTGTCTATGTCAAAGAATTTCCTCTCTTTACTAGTAAGTCACTACTTACTTACGCACAATACGTAAACTCAGAAGAGGCCAAACACAGAGGTGTCCTGTCTCTTGTTTAGAACGATATCACATCCACTAGTTACAGGACCAGTTTCAGGTCTGAGTACGAGTCAGATAAACAAGAGTTAGATAGTTTTCAAAACCCAGTATCCTCTGATTCGGTGTGGTGCGTGGTCGCAACGCGTACGGAACGCACGCGTTACGCCCGCACAACCATAGTGGATTCTCTTTGGCTTCCTTACTATTAGCGACCGCGCTGATGAGTACTAATACCGGATACCACGAGAAGGTAAGAATCCATATCCTAGCTGTCTGAACGACAAATAGCTGCTTAGTGCAAGCTTACTAAGAGTATATATTAATTATTATAAGCAGATTTTAAAGTTACT